TAAATAAGGGGGGAAGCGCCACATTTTCTGTGAGGGGAGGGGGAGGAAGCCCCTCTGAGGTAAATAAGGGGGGAAGCGCCACATTTTCTGTGAGGGGAGGGGGAGGAAGCCCCTCTGAGGTAAATAAGGGGGGAAGCGCCACATTTTCTGTGAGGGGAGGGGGAGGAAGCCCCTCTGAGGTAAATAAGGGGGGAAGCGCCCCATTTTCTGTAAGGGAGGGAGGAGGAAGCCCCTCTGAGGTAAATAAGGGGGGAAGCGCCCCATTTTCTGTGAGGGGAGGAGGAAGCCCCGCCGCCTCAGCCCCTCAGGAGGTTTACAGCCCCCCCCCCCTCGCCTCACCTCTCCCTCCGGGTCCTCGGGTGGGCAGCCGCCGGCCCCACACCTCTGCCATGGGCCCGCACGCAAACTCAGCCACCGTTTCTCTCCCGCCGGCGAGCGGGCCCGGCCCCTTCTTCAGCGCTCCTTCCGGCGCGGCAGGCCCCACCCTCGGCCTTGCTTCCGCGGCGGCAGGCCCCGCCCCCCCAGACCTGGAATTGGCCGCCGCGGCCTAGCCGCACCTTCGCCGGCATCATAGAGACGTTGGGGGGGGAAAAGAATCTTCCGGCCACGCCCGCTTTTTATCGGCTTGAATAAAGCGTGGTAAAGCTTAGAGCTAGGAACATGAAGAGGAGGGGTAGAACACTTACTTCCGGGACTCATTTTTCCACAATATCCATAGACGCATGAAAAGTGTAGACAGGCCCTTTTCAAAAATCGAGGCCTACAGCAGCCTTTTTCCCAAAGCGAGGCTCAGAGTCAAAAGGTCCATTATTTTGAGACCGGGGCTCATGTCATGAACGGTTAATCGCCCCCTTTCCCTAATACATGAAGCAAACATGAAAGAAACAGTTTCTATCAGTCAGAGGGGGGGGGAAACCATAGGGGGCCGCTCTTGCCTTACCTCCTCTATGCTTCCTCAGCTGAGAAGGCGGAAGTGGCATAAAAAGAGCCGGAAGTTCAGCAAAGCAGCATGTTTGCAGTGTAGGAGTCTTCGCCGGCTGAATTCTCTCTTGGTTTATTATTAGCGGGGGGCGACCCTAAGGTACCGGCAGCCAAGTCTCAATAATGATCCTTGTTTAATGTTTGCAATTGCAAGGGGAAGTTTATATTTGCAGAGGCACCCTTGAAATTCATCATGGCAAATAGAGCATTTTTTTGTGATTCACAATAATATGTGGGTCTATGCACAATTTTGCATTTATTTCTTTCGTCTGTGTTTATGCATTTATTTCTTTTGTGTTTATGTATGTATTGATTTTGTCTGTGTTTGTATATATGTATCGCGTCTTGGAGGCAGGGATCCTTGGAGAGCTGCATGCAATGAAATTTCGTTTTAATATGTGCCGATTAGGGTGCAATTCAAAGTGGCAATAAAGTTATTCTAAGGCCAATTGCAAAATCGATCATTATGATTCACGATTGCAAATCGAGCATTTTGATTCACGATTGCAAATCGAGCATTTTGATTCACGATAGCAAATCGAGCATTTTAATTCACAATTGCAAATCGAGCATTTTGATTCACGATTGCAAATCGAGCATTATGAATCACGATTGCTAACTTTTTTTTTAAAAAAGTGAGAAAGTTCTCACTTAGCAGCAGAAATGTGGGGCTTATACAAGGCTACTTGTAATATTTTTTTTTCTTTTAACACTGTGTGAGTTTTTAACCTATCTCCCTCCTTGCTTTTTAAAGAGAACGATGGACAAGGAAGATACTTTCCTGGTAGAGGACACGCAACTGTCCATCTATGAAAAGAAGAGGAAAAAGTCACGGAAGGGCAGCTGGGAAGAGCAGCCAATTGTGTCCTCTGATCAAATATGCTATTCTTCCCAGGATACAGAAGACTTTGTGACCAGAAGAAAAAAACATAAAAAGAAAAAAACCAGTTCGGAAACATCTGATGCTTCCTGGGTCATCCCCGAGACGCCACTGATCGATGAGTCTGAAATAAATGATTTTGTGCCCAAGAAGAAGAAAAAGAAGAAGAAACACAGACATAAACATGGTAGTGAGGATGAGTGTGGGAGCCCATCAACGCCCACAAAAACCTGCAAACTCTCCCCAAAAAAGGCTTCGGAAAATAGGGGTGACACTGCTGTTGGGGATGAGTTTTGCAGCGCGTCAACCCCTCAAAAACCCAGCAAACTGTCCCCAAAAAAGACTTTGGAAAATGGGGGTGACGGTGCTGTTGGTGATGAGTTTCGGAACCGGTCAATTCCCAAAAAATCCAGCAAACGGTCCAAGGCTTCGGAAAATGGGGGTGACACTGCTGTTGGGGATGAGTTTTGCAGCGCGTCAACCCCCCAAAAACCCATCAAACTGTCCCAAAAAAAGACTTCGGAAAATGCGGGTGACGGTGCTGTTGGTGATGAGTTTCGGAACGGGTCAACTCTCAAAAAATCCAGCAAACGGAGCAAGGCTTCAGAAAATGGGGGTGACACTGCTGTTGGGGATGAGTTTTGCAGCGCGTCAACCCCCCAAAAACCCAGCAAACTGTCCCCAAAAAAGACTTCGGAAAATGGAGGTGACACTGCTGTTGGGGATGAGTTTCGGAGCGTGTCAACTCCCAGAAAATCCAGTAAGCTACCTCGAAAGGAGGACTTGGAAAATGGAAGTGGGGTTGAGAGTAATACGTCCTCCCATAAGAAGAAGAAAAGGAAACGAAGGATGTCCTGTGTCCCTGATGGGCCTACGGAAGAGAAGGCTGAGGTCACCAGGTCACCGAGAGAAGGTCAGGTGGACCTCGACGAAACGATAGACACACAAATGGATCTCTTCGCCTCCTCGCCATTATCCTTCTCAGAGGGACCACAAGTGGGCCTTCTCCCAAGGGATGATCAAGAAGGAAGCCATTCTCCCACCGCCGAGAATTCTGATGCTACTCAGGTGGACCTGGAGATGGAAGGAACATCAGCTGGAGACCACGGACAGGAGCAACCTCCGTCACCATCCCAGTCGCTCACATCGGAGGTCGACAAGAAGTAAGCTCTTCTAGTACCCCTGACCTGTTGGCATCTAGATTAGAAGAGATGGTAGAACTTTGGGGATTTGAAAAGGGCTTCTCTGGGGAGTTTCTGGCGCGAGGAAGAAGGTGGTGGACCTTCGCTTCATCTGTCCCCATTCACATCCAGGACAGCAGAGTGGAGTTTTTGCTCCGTCACTTCTCTCCAGTCCTTGTACTAAGGTTGTATTGTATTGCAGGTGAGTGGGGGAGGGTATTCTACTGGAGATTGGTTAGACCGTGGCACGACAAAACCGCGGTCCACTAAAGCGCACCCGATTAAAGCGCGTCGCTGACGTCATCAGCAGCGCGACGACAAGGACTGCGGAGAAAAAAGGGCGCTTTAAAAAGCGCTTTTAAAGCAA